TTACAAGAGACGGCCGCTCGAATAATACTAAAATTTTAACAAGGAACGAAGGACAAAACACAGGTAATATAAGCATTCATAGTTAAATATTAGCACAGTTCAATGAAAATAATTTTTTGAAAACATAATAGTAGATCATAACTAAAAGCAAGTTTAAGAAAGAGAAATAAGTAAATTAATTTAAAGTTTATAGGGGTCTAAGCTGCTGTTGATTAGTAAGAGCTGGATCGGTAAGATACCATACGCCAATCCTTTATTGCTATGTCAAAACTGATTGACAGACTTGAATTCCTATCAACTAAGAAAGTAGTATAAAGATTGAGTCAGAGCACTGATAAATAAACAACTAATACAGGTCAAGTGTAGAAAACGTTTTTTAATTAAATAAAAATAAATATTGTAGTTTATAACAGACACCAAGAGTTCATTATATCAGTCAGTATCAAATTTCATCAACAATGTGAGTATATAAAAATTCAGCTCTCAGCAAAACGTAATTTAATAGCCTTGAAACATAAATATCATAACACTGAAAACAGTCATTGTGTTTGACGAGAAATCAAAATAAATTTCACCTTTGAATTATTTTAAAAAGATTTGGGAAAGAGTGAGAAATTATTACAATAATTTCTGACACTTTATTAAGAATAAATATAGTAATTAAAATATTTTTCAAATAAGGAAAATTCGTTACACATACGTAACTATATACAATAAGTGATGACAAGTTGAGAATTAAAAATATATGACTCTAATATACAGGGTGTATATATAACAGAAAGATGATATATTATATTGTAAATATTTAAAAAGTACAAGTCCCAATTATTAACATATTAATATTGGTTTAGATATCAATTTATTTATCAATTTATAGTCATTAGGCACAATAATATGCAAAACAATGTAGGTTAGTTTATAAGTCAGATTTATGTAGGGCTATCACTAAAATTGTCTGCAATAAGCAGCTATACATGTATTTATAGGTTAAGGTGCATTTGAATTACGCGTAAAAAGTACTAATGCGAACTAAAGTCTGCTTACGGGAGTGCGACCGTTCGGGAAGTAATAACAGTGCGATTTGTGACACTGGAGAGACTCATCACGATGGAGAGACTCATGTTTCACTGTTTGATGTACAGCCACACGTCCATAGTCAATGGAGGACTAGACAGCTACATCAAGAAGATGGGAGCAGAAGAATGCTGAAATATACATCGCTACCGATCGATACGACTCTACAATAGGCTAAATAACCTGGGAACAATACAAACACAACAGTTGTGAAAGTCAATTGTCACAACTTTACAGAGGGCACGTTGAAAAGATCACTAATAAACAATCACTAGAAGAATTGGTAATAGTAGAACAAGATAAAAACATATTTGCTCTAACGCTACACAAAAGGGCTATAATATGTAACACAGAAGTATGGCAAACTGAACACCCCGAATCCTAATAAATTTCCTAGTAAACACAAAATAAATCCTAGTATGCCATCTCCTACCTCAAAACGTAGACCTAATGACCTACATCAATAGCAAATTCCTTTACACCGAACAATCCTACCAAAGAGAAATAGAAAAGCTATACTTAGACACAGTACTGCGACGATGCCAAACAAAGAGAGAAATTTAAAAAAAAAAAAAACAGATTACTAATGGCCCCATCCTTACCTAACGCCGTCAGTCAACTCATGCAGAACAGGCCAGGGTACACATGCAGCAAACACATACCAGAGACCAATGTAGCAGAAGTATAATGCGACAAAGCAAAGCAGTATCAACCTGAGACGACCACCCAGCAAGGACAAACCAATGGAGGCAGACAGCAGCAGTAACGCATCAATATAGTTAACTCGACACGTGGAATTGGCAAACGGACATTAAAACAGCCAAGACGACGCGAGTGAAGTGCGGATAATTCCCACAGGGATACGCGATAAGTGAACAGTGAACGCAAAACGCGAGTACAATCGTATAGAACAGTTAGAATACGCTTGTCGTAATGGACACATGTAATCACGAACAATTGTAATAAGTTAGGAAAGTTCTTTCACTTGTTAAGTTTCAATAAGATTAATACAAGATTAACTCAACTTGTCATACACATAGGTTCAATACGGGGGCAGCACGATACATTCGCTGACCACGGTACAATAGTCTATAAGAAACAGTAAATGATAAAATATAAATTGGGACTTATATAAAAAATATATATAGTAGATTATAAGTAATATAATATGTAACTAGATAAATTTATTGTTGGAAAAGGAAAAGGCCCCTCGGCCCTTTTCTTTTTTTGCGTAGGGAGTAATGTAATGTAAGCGTAGCAAGTGAGTGAGAAGTTGGAATAAAGGGATAATGGAACAATAAGTAGCATAGAAAAGATAATAATTATTCGAGATAATTATCATATATTCCAAATTAAATAAGGGATAATTAATACAGTTAACTTATACATTTAAATTATACAAAGTATAACAATTGACCTAGTTATTGCATTGTTTGATAATTGTTTAAACGTATAAAAAGCACGAAACATCCGTGACCCAAATAGGCAGCAATAATACCAAAACTGCAACTCAGCGAACCTACGACCTTGGTACTAGAACCGGCGTTGAAAGTACGACCACAATAAAACAAGAAAAAACGACGGACGCCGGCAGTTAGTAATGAGTAGTCAGTAATGGGCAGTCAGTAATAGCGGGCCACCGTGACTGGACGCGACAGCGTCCCGTACGCGTCCAGTACGCGAGACAGTCGGTGATTTTCCGGGGGCCGGGTATCTTCTGTCAGAATTCGCGTGTAGTCCGGTTATTGTGGCAGCTCGAAAGTTCGCAACCCTCAACTGACCGAGTTCCAGAAGACTGAACGTGTCGTGGTTGAAGCCCTAATATACACATAAGGTAACAGATTTCTTATACTAACCTGTGTAATTATATTTGTACCTCTGTCAACTTTTCACTATCTTGCTACATCGTCTCCCGACGCGCAGAATAACGTGTTAACGATTGTATTAGGAACTTCAGGGTAGATTCAATATATTGTTGACTCTAATATGGTTTTTTTTTAATGTTCCTTCGTCCGACTCACTAGAGACTAGGAGAACACGAGAATTCTGCGTATACATATCTCCGGCTTCAAAAGTAAGCCCATAACCTCTACTCTTTACAGGACCTGAGACCGAGGAGTTCTTACCCCTATCCCGAAATCCCTTATCTTCTCGTAAATCCACGAAGACGAGCCAGCCCTCCAGACCAGTGTGACCAGTATTCCTTGCAGCCGCTCGCAGGGTTAGCATCCCTTGAGGATCTATTGTATTTTACATTTGGTGACAGTCTTTACAGGACCCTATACATAGAAGTCCTTAATCCCTCTCCACTTCTCGTAAATCTGTCTTAGATTATTACATTACCACTACGAAAACAGTCGTTAGATCATGTAAAATACCTGCCACATACCACATACCTGCGTTCACACTGGTGAACTGTATGCTATTTACCAAGCCTTCAAACCCTGGGCAGCACCCAATAAACATATTGTTATCTGTACAGAGTCCTTTGCCTCTATCCAGCCCATCAATAATCTATTCACTAATCACCCTCTTGTAGAAAAAATCCAAAATCACTATCATATGGATTCCCTCCCACATCGGGATTACGGGTAACGACAACGCCGATCGCTTTGCGAAGTCCAGTAGCTAACGTATCCAATTGACCTCAAAACTAGTATAAAGAAACTAATACAAAATTACTGGCAGAATCATTGGAACCAATCCAATACATTTTTACATCAAATAGATCAGACGATTGAATGGTTCGCTATCCCTGATATAACTAGAAATAAGATGGTTGTAGCTAGAAGATTGTGTATCGGTCACACCTGACTTACACATGGTCACCTAATTGATTCTACACCTAAGATAATCTGTCACTATAGCCAATATCCACTCAGTGTTCTACACATCCTTGTGGACTGCCCTAATTACAATAAACGACATCAAGAACTGGACATGAAGGGCGACATCACAGATATATTATCGAACCAGAGCCTAGTCATCACAGCTATCCAGTTCCTAAAGCTAGAAAACTTACTTATAACTATAAAAACATAACTATAACTATAGTAGATATAATATGCTTTCACAAGCACGTTAAATTAAATAAAACAATTATTTATAACTAGAAAACGATCAAGTTTACAGAAAAACTACAAGAGACCAATTTTGTTTAAAATCAACCAAAAAATAAAAAAATTAAATGGTCGGGTCAAAAAAATTGATTGTTACAATTTGTTTAAAAAAATTTGAAGAATTTTTCGTTTGGGCGACCTCTTAAACCTTATTTTGGGGTATCTCATGAAAGTGATTATGCTTAAAAATGGCATGGGAGTATATTTCCGATTCTACAATTACGCCATACCATCATTACTCAGAAGCAACTAGTCACTAATAATAATACTTCAGTGTGTGACATCTATCACATTATGCTAATGAAATGTCAAAGATATACAATTATATAATAAAAACACAGTATTACCTTTAATTAAAAACCGTTAATACGCGTACATGAACACTAAAAATTTAATTAACCATTTAAATGAATCATGTACATACAAATTTACTGTAAACTAATAAATATCGATAATGACACAGGTGGTTAATGCGACTATACAACAGCAGTTTATGGGTAGTAACAAAAACTGGCTAATAAATATATTAAGCTTAGAAAAATCAACATCTGAAACAGTACTTTTTAAAACGGTTGTTTAAAACTGTTTTTTAAAATTCGATATTTTTAAAATTATTCCTATAATCATCATTATTAACTTTACCTCTTTGTGTAATTACTCCATTTAACTAGAGGAATTAAGATTTAATCTTGTAAAAATGTCGTCCATGACGTTGACTGAAATAACGATACACTTTTCAAGTTATTTTTAAAGCAGGTTTTAGTTTAATTACTGAGTTTAATGAATAGCTGGGAGGACTAAAAGTAATTAAATAAAAATAATCACCTCTATCTGGATGCCGCTGTCTCCGCTGTTACATTTTGCGTTTCTGGCTGCTTTCGTTAGTTTTTTCTTTTCTTTGCTGTTTCGCCAAACGAGTCCTCCGAACCTGAAAGAAAAAATTACTTAACTTAGATTATTATACAATCAATTATAAATTTTATAGACTTATTAAAACTTTTAGATATAAAACAAGTTAAACAAAGTAAATTATACAGAATATTTCAGTTGCACAATTAAATATAACAGTTTTTCTAGAACGTGCTTTTAAAAAGTCATTTACGTTGATAAATAAGTTGTTCTGAATAAACTAAACTTCACAACATTCTTGTTTACCATAAATTGTTGCGAAAAATTAGTTTTTAAATGTATATCTCTCTATCTATTTAATTAGCTAAAAACATCCATCTTTGGACATAAATCTCCCCTATTTTTTTCAGGGTTCTCTATCTCGCGCCATTTGTATCCATCTCGCTCCAGTATGTTATTTTATATTATCATCTTCTTTTTATCCTTCTTCTTCTTTTTATGTAGACATAACTCTGTCTGTTTTTCAACGTGCCTCCAGTAAGTTGACGTTCCATCGTTTTCGTGGTCTTCCTACTGATTGTCTTCCTATTGGGGAAACGTCTGTTGCCGTCTTTACTACTCTATTTGTTGTCATTCGGCTTATATGCTCATTTCAGTCTACTCTTCTATTTCTTACCCAGTTCTTGGTGTTCTCCAGCTTAGATCTACGTCGAATATCTGTACTTCTAGCTCTGTCCCATAGTGTTTTTACCATCAATGTTTTTAAGTATTTTTATCTCTGCAATTTCTAACATCCTTTTTGTCCTTTCTGTCAGGTCGTGTTTCTGCCGCGCATGTCATCATTGGTCTGATGGCTGTTTTGTAAAATCTGCCTTTAATTTCTTTCCTGATATTTTTATTTCTTCATATTGTTTTTAGACAATCTGCGTCTTTGATTGCTCTTTTCACTTGATACTTCACTTCTGTTTCGAGCTTTATTTAGCTAGATAATGTGATACCTAGATATTTAAACCCCATCAGTTGTTCTATTATTTGACCTTCCAGCTCCTTTACATCTTAGTAACCCTTTACTGTCATAACCATGCATTTTGTCTTTTTTGTAGAAATTAACATGATAAATTTTCTGACGGTAATACTAAATTGGTATAGCATATGTTGTTAATCATCTTCAATTTGAAAGAGCATTGCGTTGTCTACATATCAAATTATTTAAAGTTAATTTTCTTCCATTGGTATCCTTTTTTAGTTCTTACTTTTATATTATTTCATCCATAAACAGGTTTAATACTAGAAGACTCAGGGATTTCTTTGTCTTATCCCATTGCCAGCTTCAATAGGGTCAGTTAGTTCTTTTTCTACTTTTACTTTTATTGTGTTGTTTTGGTAGATATTTTCGATCGTTTTGATTATTCCTAAAGGCATATCTCTTGCGTACAATGAGTGGATAACATCCTTTAATTTGATCTGGTCAAATGCCTTCTTAAGGTCCACGAAATATAGATACGCCGATTTGTTGTATTCCAATGATTTCTCTTGCACTTGCCTCATTATATAGCATCAGCGCATGATCTTATCGACCTAAAATCTTGTCCTTCTTCTGCTAGAGTTATAATTTTATTCAGTTTATTTGTTATCACTTTGATTGTTAATTTTAGTCTTGTGTTTAATAAATTAATTCCTCTGTAATTTTCCAGGTCCGATTTGTCTCCCTTTAGAAAAAAAGTATCCAGATGCTTGATCTCTATTCTTGAAGAACTCCGTTTTGTTGTATTATTTTTTGGATTAGTTTTAGTATTTATTTATTCAGATCTGTTCCTTCGTACTTTAGGAGTTCGTGCGGTATTTTGTCCTCTCCTGATGATTTTCTGGTTTTTAATTTCCTTAATGCTTCCTTTACCTTTTCCTCATCAATATTTATTTCTTCGTTCGCCGCCACCTCTGATGTTGGTGGTTCATTATCGTCACCTTTAGCAAATAGGTATCGAAAATAGTCTGTCCATGTTTCCTTCTGAATGTATTTCGTTTTTATTAGTTCGTTCTTCTCTTTTGTTTGCCCTCTGATCATTCTCTACATTTATTTCTTTGTTCCGTAGAAGTCGTGTTGCATCTGTATTATAAGCTCTGCCATTTTATATCATCCGACCACCTAAATTGTGGCCTTCCTCTTTGACGTTTATAATTCCAAGGTTGATAATGTATAATTATTTTGTTCCATTGGTTTTGTCCCTTCTATCTTATGATATGCCTAGCAAATTTTAATTTAATATTTTTCTACTTAAATCGAGACGTCTTTCATTTGGTTCTACTCAGTGGTGCACCTAGAATTTGCCTGAGAGGAGCTTTGGTTGGGCACCAACCAATTTTTTTTGCTACTTCCATTTTGAGACCTTAAAATGTGAGGTTTTAGTATTTTAGCACCAAGATCAGCATATTGGTCTACTGGGCAACATCTTCCGTATTGTTCCACTCTTCTTGCCATCTTTTCATTGATATTTCCCTTTCTTCTTTTTTTATGACTGTTGTCAAATGCTCTCTTCTCTCATAGAGATGTCTCCTTTCTACTGCTAAAACATGCAGAGGATGCAGAGGAACACAACCTGTGATAGTCCACAAGGGCGCCGCAAATACAGTCCCGTAGACGCATGCTACTCGCAACAGACTCATTCTGTCTACTTTTATCATGAACCTAATATAAGGTGTCTATATCTAAATATAAAGTGTGTGAAAGACCAGTTACATTTTCCTACTATTCTTTATATATTTTTTACTTTATATACCTTAGTGGAAGGGGGGTTTAACCCCCAAACCCGCCCCACTTGGGTACGCCAGAGGTTTTACTACGAACCTGCTTGTTTCTTTTCCTGATAGCCATCTGATAGCCTAATGTTTAACATATGTCTTTCCACAGTTCTTTGCCTTTTCGCTATTTTTTCTATATTATCCTTGGTACCTAAATGTCTAAGTTTAACAATTGTAACGTTAAACACCTCACATGTTTGTTATTTTTCTTCCAATTCCTGTTGATTTTATTCATTTGTTAACCTTCAGCTTTGTTTTACTATTTTTCTTCTAAAAATAGTTGGAGCTCAACTTTCCATGTTAAATGTCTAATCTTTATTCTTCATTTTAATTTTTTAGCTCGATTCCCATTTTATCATCAGTAGCCGATTTGTGTCTACTGCTAAATATAGGCCTCAACTAAATAATTCCATTTCATCCGATCTTGGACACCCTGGATCCAGCTGTGCTGGATGCGCTTGATGTCGTCTAGCCACCTTGTTGGAGGACGTTCTTGATTACGATAAGTATCGTGTTTAGGTCTCCATTCTAAAATTTTCTTGGTCTATCTTCCATCTCTGACTCTGACAACATGCCCTGCTTAGTTCAATTTCAGCGATGAAATTCTTTTAACTGCTTCAGTACTACCAGTTTTTTCATTCTCATTTACTCTTCGCATATTCCCCTTATTCATACCCATAGTTGTTCTATAGACATATATAAAACATCTATAATCTAATCCAAGTAGCGACAAACTTTATTTGTCTGTTGGAAATTGTGATTTCTTGATTCTGTCATGGAAAGTTCCACATCAATATACAGAAGTGGGAGTATTTTTTAAATATCTGCTGTTCATTTAAAGTGGTGTTTTTTGTTTTAAAATCCTATTTGTATTCTTAAATCTTCATTAGGATTAGTTGATTTCCTTTTTAATATTTCATCAATATTCAGTGTTTTAATATTCTCTTTCGATGTTTTTTGTCCATAACCTCCTAGCCACATTTTTTTCAACTCTATGAAGTATATATGTAGCTAGAACAGACAAAGCAGTAAAAACAAGCACATACCTTTGAAGGAATTTATTGGATTACGGTATTGAAGTGAGTACCTCAACTGTGCGGAAGGCAAGAAAAGCGAAGAAAAAATGAAATCTAATACAGAAAACTAATAAGAAAAAATAAACGCTAAGCATGAGACAAAAAATACCAATCATGGGCTGTTGACGACTGTAAAAAGGTAATTTTTATCATTAGACGAAGTAAAGATGAACTTCTGCAACGATATTATACTCAACAGTAAAATACCCTTCTAAATAGATGTTGTGGGGTTTTTCACAACAAATAGCACCGAAAGCTTAGTTCCTATTAACGACATGATAAATTCTGCCAAACACATTGAAATGTCATACAGAAGGATTGTTCCATTGATGAAAACATTTGACGTCCTGTTGTCCAACATGGTCCCGTATGACAATTAAAAATTGGTCCAGACTTATAGGCGGGAAAATAAAGAAAAGTACTCGATTGGACTGCTAATTCACCAGACCTAAATTCCATTGAGAACTTACGGCATACTGCCAATAAACGTTTCTGACGTTCTGTAGGTACATGGCACTCTAAGAAGGTAAATCTACGCGATAGCAGCTGAGACTTAGAGGCAGCCAGACTCTGTCTATTAAATGTTTATAAAATTATTAATGAAGTAGTTCCGCACTACTAAAGGATAATTAGGCAGTAATATATCCTTAATGCTACTCTTTTTTAATTTATTGGTAAATTTATATAATTGAAATGTGCGAAACTGCACTAATCCACACACCGAGTTACCATTTATATTTTCGGGCAACTGATAAGGTCACAACAAACTGTCTTCAACAATACGATATAAAACATTAAATTAAAATTTATATTGAAAATATGACACTCGATATATCCAATTCTACTCAACTTCTACAACTCTTCCAATTAAAACTCCTCTGCTCGTTATAATTGTTTCGTCGAAAAATAGAAAATTTTAAATAAAATTTTTATTTTCATGTTTTTATCGGTGGCCTAATTAGCAAAATGTCAGGACAAGGGAAGATTTGACAAAAAGTTTTAACGGGGACAAAGTGATTCAGTTTTATATTTTAGTTTTTTAGTGCTCCGCAAAGTGAAGAGTGGCTTACTATTGTAATTGTTGATGAACACTGATTGGATAGTTCAAAATTGCCTGCCATTTTTCCTATTTTTTCTCACAAATTGTTGTATTTGTTCTATATAACCATTTTTGTTTTACATTATCTCAGCTAAATTTTTGTTT